TCGCCTCGTCAACAGCATGTCATGCGAGCTTGTGCCTGCCCATAGTTTGCGAAGACCGTCTTGATGTTGTCTTCCGTAAGGCTTGCAGACAGGCCCTGCCACAAGAGGTCCACCTACTTTGGCCATAAGCAAGCTTATCAGCATTCAATCGCGTCTGCCTGAACCACCATGGTGTCAGAAGGGGGATACTTTGGCCAATCGTCGGAATATCCTCCTCCAGCAGGTGCCTTTGCCGTGGTTTGGATCGGCCAGCTGTTCCTGGTGTGATTTGGATCGAAATGCCCAAGGCCATGACCATACCTCCGGGAACAGCCGGTCCTTTGCCTTAGAGGAAACTTTTGTGGACATCGTAAGGAACGTTCAAAACCAAGCTTCGGACCATGTCCCTTCGTGTTGTTTGCGAATCGGACGGTGAGCCTTAACTAGTCGGGGCTTCATTCTAAGCCGAGGTCCTCACTTTCAGTGCCTCAATGTGCCTCACGCTGGCGCTCCAAGGCACTCGCACACACTGTCCCAGCTGGTAGTTGTTGGTGGCTTGTATGGCATTTTGTGCCTCGCCCATGTCTTCATTGATAGTGCCACACGTAGCGGACAACCAGAACTAGCAGGTCTCGTCTGTCTGTCTTCGTGCATGCCCGGAGCTCAGCACCTCCTCAGGAGTCGTGAAATTCACAAAGCCATACCGAGTGCCATTTTTCGTCCTTGGCTCAGGGAATCTGACACAAACATGAGTGCATCCGATTCTTGGGCCACCAGCTGATCTGACAGCTTCGTCGAGGTCACTGCACCAAACCGGGCAAAGAAGTCCCTGACATGGCTCACTGCTACGTGTTGCACGGCCCCATGTACTCGTAGAGCACATGGGTTGAACACTTCCTGCTTTCTTCATACTTTATTTGCGGATTAGCCTGAACTCTGGCTCAGTGCAGGCTTCTGGAATTCCTGCAACGTAGACCTGGGACACAGAGCAGGGCAGCTTTCCCTCAGCGGTTGCATGGGCGTGTTGTCAAGGCGGAGGTGCAGCAACGCAGAGAATAACAACTTCTCCAAGAGGCCATCTACAAAGCTTTTCGCAAGAATTGCTTCGAAACAACGCTGGATTTCAGTGTCGAGCATTGCATTGGCCAGCCTGTAGTGTTCAACAAAGACACTAACTACAGTGACTACAGTGCCACTACAGCTGTTGGCGAATGACTCTCAGCCCCGCTCCACCGGCGGTTGCGGTGGTGGCCCTTGCCCTTGGTATTGTGCAGATGCCGAGCTCCACATATGTCCCCATACTACCACACAATCTGGTGAGAAGCTATTAGAATCTGCTATGCATCTATATGCAATGCGGAAGGCTGTGGACGATTGTGCGGCTCATATATGCGAGGCTCAGCTCCGTACCCTTGCCGTAAGGCTGCCCTCACTGACAAACAAATGCTGCAGAGCTGTGATGAAGTGTGATGAAGGAGTCCAGGCGACGAACTCTTCATGCTAAGGAACAGGCCGGTGTTGGCAGCCCCTCCGCCTGCTTGATACCAACGCTTCAGAGAACGCCAAAGGGCGTAACACAATCTATGTATATATATATGTACAATATATTGCACTGCATTTGAAGCATGTGGATTATTCTGCGCGCGCCGGGGATTCCGCGCCTTTGTAAGCCTCTAGCGGCTCATTGCTCGTCATGCGCACAGTCAGCATGTTGCCATCTATCCTGGGCTGCTTCGCCAGGCCAGGTCATTTCAAACCACAACATCTTCGACGACTATGGGGGGCTTGGCGAATCATCTGTGTCTTGCTGGCAACAAGATGACGTGTGCAAACTGCCAAGGGACTGGTAGCCACGCAGGCCGTCGACGGCATATCTGGCCTCACGATTGATGACACTCAGCTTACGTAGATAACGCATTGGGGTACATACACATCCAGGGGTACATACACAACCAGTTGCAGATGAGAAAGCAGGTTAAGACGATTGTAAGGACAAGACCATCTCCGGGCTTTGATACTTCCTGGGGTGCTGCGTCACCGGCATCATGACTGGCTCTTTGGTTCAGAGGACAAGGATCCGGCACGAAGCCGTAGGTAGGGGCACCTCCTTTTCGTGGTATCACCTGACGTCTGTGCAACTGGACAAACAGGCTCAGATGCAGCACGATTTCCCAGGCCTTCACCGACTCTAAGGTGCCGTAAGAGGCGAAAAGCTGCCTGCAAAGGCAAGCACTCTTTGCAGCAGCAGGCTTCACGCTAGTGCAACCAGCCAAGCAACCCCCACCCCTGCATCAAAGGGCAACCTCAGGCCGCCCAAATCACTCCAGGAGCGAGATCGCAGGCCATCTCTGAAACTTCTATCACTACCCGTTTCATCCAGAGGACCGGGCACGTGTTCGGCAGCAAACGAAGGGCACGACTACTCAAACCATCCAGTGCAACCACAGCTCTTAAGGGGCTGTTCAAAGCACGCCACCCGAAATATTCCGACGCTACCCAGAATACTCCCCCTGGCAAACTTGTCTTTCTAGAGGGACTCCAAGTGGGGCCAAGGCCGGTAACCTGAGCAGGTTCCACGAAGCAGACTTACATGAAACCATGTAGTTTCCTCAAATTATTGCTTGGTGCTTAGAGCGCCCAGTTCTACTGAGATGCCCAGCCTTCTCAGAAGCACCTCCACCAACAAAGGGGTAAGTCTAAGGGGCTAAGGGATTGTGATGGTGACTGAACAAGGTTTGGCGCTGCGTCATTGCCCATGCCACTATGAACGTGCAAGCCTCAAGCTATCCTCGTCCGCATTGTCGGGAAGGCCGGAAACATGAAGATTGCCTGCATTCCCCCCCCCTCGCCCCTCCCCGCACCGGAATAATTCACTCTCACCACTGTCGACAGGCGTGCAGCATCCCACGGGTTGATACATCTATGCTGCAACTGTCCCTGAATGTACCCGCAGACTGCGCAGCCACAACGACAACATTAGTTCGTTTGCTGAGGATGAAGCAGCTGACTGCCATGCAGCAGGGCCTTGAAACAGATGTTGGGTCGAGAGGTTGCTTGTGTGAGAAATAAGGACACATGCTGCGCAGTTTTGCAATTGCATGTCAAGCCGGAGATGCTTTGACAAAACGAAAGGGAAGTAGACAAAAGGGTCCCGTTTCTAACGACCGAAGGCAGCTCAAACTCCATGCGTTGCAAAGCCATTGGTGCACGACCGCGGCTTGCCCGCGGTTGGACTTTGCTCTCTCTTTTCCATTTTTGGAGTCGAATTTCTGTACAAGAAGTTCGGTGCAAGTGGCGTGAACCAGCGCTGTGGTGCTGATGGTGCAGTTCCTTTAGGGCAAGGAATGGCAAGGAATGTTTGCGTTCACAGTATCCCGCAGCACCTATCTGACCAACTTAAGACAAACATGTGTTGCGGCCTGCCAAAAGAGCTATGCCGAGGCACAGATTGTGGCATGACTCCTGCGCAGGCCTGCTGTCTTTGTCGCCTGATGCGAGGCTTCTGGTGCCGAAGCTTCTTGCGTCTCCTGTCTGGCCATGATGTCATATCCCTCTTGCAAAGGCTGAAGCAAAGGCTGAACTGGCAGCAGCATCCAACATGCCGCGGTCATCCCAAGCAGAAACATGAAACTTGAGGCACAACAGCTCTGCCACACAGCCCGATACGCAAGCCAAAAGTGCTACAGGCTCCTGTTTTGGAGGGTGAGCAGATTCCAGCTCTTGCTCATCTGCTGGCTTCTCTGCCACCTCATTGTCGGCTCTTCTTTGCAAAACTAGATTGTCCACAGAGGCCCTCGGATTCTCGGTTGCTTGCGCTCCATTTGGGTTTTGGCGAAAGTGTTTCTGGTCCATGGCATGGGGTGCGCCTTGCTTGACATCATTTCATTCTAGTCTTGCATAGCTGTGATATGTCTTGGGCATGTTTCTGCATTGTTACAGACATGTCCAAACCACACTTCAAGACTACCTCGCACAAACAAGCACAAATGTGCTTCACTCTTAGACTCTTCGTCTGGCTGCAAGTCAAGGTACGTTAAACCCTCTCTCCATGTCGATGCCTCCATCTTTGCGTGCCTTGGGTTGACATACCGACTCTCTGTGCCACTCCAGCAAATCACTGTGAGTCACACTGCGCCTGGACACGAGCCGCAGCCGCCGCTCGCGAGCGTTGCAGCAGCAGCGCTGCGAAGCTTGCATCTGGTTTGGCGATGGGTGCCTGGGCCCCCGGAGGCTTGAAATCTACATCTGACACCCAAAACTGTCGGGGTCGTTTTCTGCTGCTAGGTTGTCAGAAGATGCCATACGGATCATACGGTTGGGTCTTGGTTACATGCTTTGAGAAAGCTCTCCTTTGGTAGAGGCTGGGTCCACACTGTATGGAGGGATCCAGCAATAGGCAACGCCACCGCGGCCTAGCTTCCAGTGTACGGGGACACAAGAGAGGTAGCAAGCCATTTAGCACAATGCGGCGTCAAATTGGGTTGAACCACATAACCTATGTCAGTCTGCATGCAGGGTGTCCCTGCAGGGTGTCCCTGCCGGGTGTCCCTGCGGGGTGTCCCTGCGGGGTGTCCCTACGTGGGTTGCATTGGGTATAGAAGCTCTGCATTTTTAATGTGCGAGTTTTTTGGGATTGCTTATTGTGGGCACAACTCGAAGACTTTTTGGGAATTCGAGAACTTCTCTGTGAGTGTCTAAATAGCGCAAGCAAGCGGGCAAGCAACTGTGAAAAAACCTGCGTGCGTGAATGTGCGGACAAGCGAGCATGCTTGCAAGCAAGCGCACAAGGAAGCTGGTCTATAGTAAACATGCAGGATCGTGTGTACAACCGAGCATGCGTGCGTGGCTGTCGGCATAGGTGCAGGTTGAGGTGAGCATGCAAGCAATCGAAGTCTGCGTACAACAGAGCATTCGGAAGGCATGAGCGCGGGCGTGCATGCATGTGCGCGCACAAGCATCCCTGTGCAAATGCACATGAGGCCCCTTCCAAGCCCACCTCAGGCAACCCTGCCGTGCTTGAGTCAAGGGGCGCCCGTGCCCTGCTTTGTGAGGGTGCCTGCAGCCTGTCGTGGTAAGGACAAGACATCCAGCGACGTGGCAAACGGAGAGTCCTCACAGGCTCTGGTTGACCGGAATGTACTGGAATCTATGATATCACCATATATATATATTTATATATTTATATATTTATTTATAATGTATCTCACAATATGCCGCCTGTCGAAAGAAGGCATGGTTGCATTACATGCATCACGTGGTCAAGACTTGAGGTATAATGCTCTCTGTTGTCCTGTGGGGCCCGTGGTGCGCCGTCAGCCGTTGCCGATGGCACTGAAAAAACAAGCTTCGCATGTGAAATCACAATCAGAATCACGTCAGCTGGTCTCATGAATGGCTTTGCATTCTTTGCCCACCTACCTGTTTTCTGCATGTCACACATAACATGGCAGAAATGCAGGAGCCTGCATCAGCGGCTGCAGCTTGTATGGCCGGACGGCTGCTGGGAGCCCCTTCTCCGGCGGAACAAAGCTCTGCGGGCAATGGCGTGGGAATGCTGGGGCTTGGTAGGGCATCCTCCTCTTGCTTCGGCGGCATGGGCGTTGGATCACTGATATATCGGAGGTCCGACAGCTCCACTTTCGGCGTTGGCTGGCTGAACCAAGGAGTCGGCAAACTGTCGAGGAAGGCTTGCGGCGGTGGTGGTACGGGCTGCGAAGCTGGCCAAGCTACTGACTCTTGTAGCAATGGAGTTGGCACAGAATCTGGCACTGTCGCCTGGACCTTTCTCAGTATGGGTGGATCCCAGCAGAATGGGGTTGGCTGGCTTTCTGGACGGTGCTGGCTCTCTGGCGGTGAAGGTGAGGACGAGTGCATGTCAACGTCCTCTGGGAGATTTGGACCTGCCCCTGAGTCTGTGATTTGGGCAACTCCTGGGCCAGAACCGAACACGCTATCCCGGCCTTCTTTTTCCATCTCACACGCAAAGACCTGGTCTCGAGCTTGTGCTCTTGCCGGAGCGGGTACCTTGCCCTTGTCCGTGGCTTTCGTAACCTCTTTCTGCTCCTGGTAGCGCCCGTCTTCCTGTGCCCAACCTTGACAGACACACTTTGGTGCCAATTCAGTTTAGTCGTGGACATACGCTGAGAAGCACCCGAACTACAGAATGCGGTGATGTCTGTGTGCCTTGCCTGGGACTCGCTGTCGAGGGCTGACAGCGGCGCTGACTCGCCGACGCGCTTGACAGCAGCACCCACAACAGCCGACAAAGCCACCATGTCCTGACCAAGGCGGTAGTCTAGGTTTCTCAAGGTCCAAGATGACCAGAGTCAAGTCTGTGCAGTTGCAAAAGTTCTTTGATTGCAGCCTGTGTCCGAGTTTTCCATGTGCAGTACATTCGGGTTCTCTTCAGGTGGAGCATTGAGGCTTTGCCTCCGGCAAACGAGGCAAGAATAAGAGCAGCATCCAACAGCTAAAGACTCAAATCAGGAACTGCGTGGACCGCATCTGCGGCCTTGGACTTTCTGCCATGACGTCTGGCTGCGAGGCCAGTTGTGAAGCCTGTGAGCTTGCGAAGCCTTGTGAGCGGATGCTGCGCACTTCCTTCTGCGGAAGAGAATAAGCCTGCCCATCGACGACTGACCACTCTGTACGTCCGAAACATGTGACACGAAACACAAATAGCATACCATGGCACCGATGGCACCTGCGGATCATCGAGGAGAAGCTTCAAGTCTGTTGGCTGCAGGAACACCTCACTAGCGCAAGGTGCAATGCAGCTCATGCAAGAGCCAACCTTGCACGGCCTGCCCTCGATGCTTCGAGTTGTTGGAGCTGGGCGGCTTCCTCAGGACAAGCTCCAGCGCTGGATGTCTGGGTCTTGTGCCTCTGTTTGCATTTTGCAGCAAAATTTGAGCCGAGGCTCAGCCGACTGGAGCAGGACTCTCCTGAAGTTCGCAGGCGCTTTGCCGGATGGACTGGCTCTGGCAACGGATGCCTTGAACCAGAACAGGTCTTCGAAGCTGGTCATCAATCAGCATATTCATATACTATCCAAGGATTGAAGATGTGAGACGACTGCATCCTTTGTCAGCTAAGTTGCGTCCTCTCCTCAAAACAAGCCGACGAATTTGTGTGACATGACGTGACCAAAGCCCTCATGATGCTTGCAAGCAGAACAGATAGTAGGAATTATGCAATGGTACACGGCCAGTACACGACTCGCATACATTTGGCATGACAGTTGTCCGTCCAATCCAGCTGTCCCGCCTTGAGCTGCACCTGCGCCATTGGCTGCTCGCTTCTGTCGCGCTTGCTTGCGAATGCACGAAGATCTGCTGATCTCGCGTGAGCAGGCGGATTCTCCAGGGACTCCTTTGCGAAATCACCTCCCAATCCCAGTGTTGAACACAGATTTCGCGGCGTATGCAACAGTATGCCGTGCGGTACCCGACCATCTAAACAGAGTGAGCTTGCTGATCCCAGGAAGCCTTGGCTGGAGCTCTTCTGTGAATGGCAGCCGGGTACTCGACCCAGCTTAGCATAGCACCTGGGTGAGATACGCCAAGGTCTATGCACGTTATGACCCTCCATTTGCAAAAACACTCATGCAAGCTCCGGGCTGGTTTCGGAAATCGCGGACCCTGTCCTGCGAATCACGTGCTCTTGTCCCTTCACCAAGGGGGCAGATTGATGGTACGGAGCTGCAGATCATGTTCGTCCTTTGTCCAGCCTTGCTGGAATTTCATGAAGCAAGATCTCGCAATGACTGCCTGAGAATCATGCATGTTTGGTCGCCGTCATCACAGCCAAATCTCCAACTTGAACACACGAATCAGGCTCAACTCGGTCAGCAGAAGTGACGAAAACAAGGCTCCGATTGGAGTTGAAAGACTTGCTGACCTTGCTTGCAGCTAGTGCACGGCAGCCGTTTGCGAGCCACCCGCCGCTGGCACTGTGGTCTGGAAGTGGATGTTATGCCCGGCAGACTGCCAACGAAAACAGAAAGCTTTCTTGGCGGACGCGTATTTGACCTTCGCCAGGATGTTATGCGTACAACTCATTCATGTCGCGTACAGTTTTCTCCGAATTCTTGCGTGACATTGCGTGACAAGCGGCAACACTGTGGGCCATATGTCCTTTTGGCGCATCCTCGGGGAGCAAGTCCGTGACTTCGTTGCTGCTGCGGGCTTCCTCCCATTCCAGGCAATTCAAAATATTCAAAATAGCACGGTCTCAAACGCACATCAGTGAGAAAATCGATACGTTTCGACCGCATCATGACATCATTGCGGCCTGTTCTCTCTGTGAGCTTGGGCGATGTTTGTCGGGGCTCCGAGATTGCACGCTGCGCTGCAAAGGCGGGGCCCCGTAGAAGTACAGCCAACCTGCATGCGGAATGGCAGTGAGACACGGTCCCACGCGTGACCTGTGCCTTTCGGGCTCATGCTGACGCACCTGCCTCATTTCAGATCCTGCCACCTAGTTTTTAACTACGTCGTATGCCTCAAACGTGTGCAACCGACCTCACCTGAAACGATTGGCGCCACTGCCCGTACCACCAAGTGTGGCCTGAGCCCTTGCTGCAATCCTGCCTGTTAAGCATGGAATCCTTCACCAGTAACCACCATGAAACGCACACCCCTCGAATGCCAAACGCGGCAAAATGCAGGTATTCTTTTGTGATGTAGAATCTTCAACGGGAAGCTGCTCCGTCCCTACCTCCACTTGCATGGTGGTCCCCGAAGGATTGTCAACTGCCGTGAATAAACCGGAAAACTTTAAGTTCATAGCAGCTGCGAAGCGGGTATTGAGATGCATCTGTGAAACTGCTGACAAGCAGCACTCTTTGCAATAAAGTCCCCCATCAGTGCTATCCTGGCGAAGAGTCTGAAAGGAGCGTCATGCAGCAGCAGAGTCCATGGCGAAGGGGTTAAGTTTCTTATTGGTCTGCCTCTCCCCCCCTTTTTTCGCTAGGTCTGGCTAGAACCCCTTGGCCGTTCACTGGCTGCTTTAAACACTGTGAGTTTGCAGAGCCGTGTTTCCTCCATTTGCAGGCTTGGAAGGGATTTGTTGTAGCTCAACCAAAGGTTTTGTTTTCTTTTTTGGGGGGGCAGCCAACACCTGCAAAAAAAGGGACGGGGGGGGGGACCCACCCGCACTTGCAAACACAATACGTGCATGTTGGGTTTGGGAAGAATTCCTGATTTTTAAGTGCAAGCCGTCTTCCTTCTTTGCTAGGTAAGCTTGCCGCTTGTATGGCAAGAGGACCAATGGACCTGCGGGCCAGCGGCACTGGAGGACCAAGGGGCCAGAGAACACCAATCAGGGTAGGCTGCCACCGGACAATGGGACCACAAGACCAAGCCTGCCAAACCTAAGAAAAAAACGGAAGAGCCGGACCTAAGCAAAAAAACACCAGACCCCTGCAACGCCTTGACCAAACATCTGCGGCATGTCTTGCGTCTTGGTGGAATTGTAGCCACCCGAAAGGCACCCTGTGTTGAATTGCTTTGCCTGGTCACATCAACCTGGAGCAACCAGTCCTTGAAGATCTCACGGTTGACGGTGCCACAATCTTGGCATCGGCCAACACTAGCAGCATCAGCTGTCATGCTGGCAGAAGATCGGGAACTGAGCCTGCCGGGCTGCTGATATCTTGGCTCCGAGAGATTGATTACCTAGCCTCACGCACTGCTCTGAACGATGGCTACACAGAGAAGCTGGCAGAAAACTGGCATAAGCTGGCAGACTACAAGTCAGGAGTCGACCTCAGAATCCACCATGATCTTGGCAGGCTCAGGGCGACATCCGGCGAAACATGAAGCGATGCCGAAACAGCTGCTGAGAACGTCTGTTGAAAGTGCAACGCAGCACTGTGCAGACTGCCACTGCAGCGACTCGTGTCAAATACGCAGGTGCAAGCATCACGCCATCACGTCATGCGGAAATGTAATCGACTCTTAACATCTCATCTCTTGGCCCTCCGGGTGCCCGGCCACGGTCGCCCGAAGTGGCTGTGCGATCTATGGTGTGATGTGTGTAGAAACTCTTTCGAACAGTAGGCAGCTACTAGTGATCCCACATGCGTTTGCTGAACTTGCAAGGCTGACTTTGCCACTGGCTGAGCATGCGCTTGCCCGTAACACCTGGTGATTTTGAGCAACGTGTTGACAAAGCTGCGGAGCAAAAGAGGTCACAGGCACTTTGCCTGGCTGTCTGCCATATACTTTCTAGTCCGCAACAAGGGCTGGGCAGTTTTCATTGGCGGCTGCAGAACCTTTGCGTGCCTTGCGCTTCTCCACTCAAAGCTCAAGACCAAAGTGTTGGCTGCCGTCCCCCTTTCTCCGAGTCTGAAAAACTCAGCGCGCAACAACTAAATTGAAAATGCTCCCGTCGCTCAAGCCTGTGGAGGCCAGTAAACACCATTGGAGCGCACGAGTTGCGGAAGCTCCAAACCTCAGCTGGGTGATGTCGCACCCGGTACTGTAACAAGCCTCCTTAAGCCTCGGCACACGCGGCAGGAATGTTGGCATCCCCAGCCTCAAGGCACACGACGATCAATCATGTCTGAACGCACTCAACGGCAGCTAGTGCCTCTGCTGTGTGGACGAACAAATTCCCGCACAGGTCTAGCAAGCATACCTGGCAATCGAGAAGGGCAAGTGCGCACAGCTACAAACATCTTGCTTGCATGCAAACCCTTTGCTTTTCGTTAACTGCAGGGACTGCGCGTTGGACACCATCTGCCTTCAAGTCATATCGGCGTTGCCGATGCTTTCTGTAGCGGGCAGGTGGCAGGGACGTTAGCACTCTTTGAACGTTGGGCCTCCGCTGAGTTTCGAAGTTAGTCATCGACCTCCAGGTCGGCATCGCTGGCTGGTGTGGGTGGTACAGGCTCTTCCTTTGCAGCTCCTTTTCGACGCTCTGCTCGTTCTTGCAGGCGCAGTCGGACTGAGCTCCAGCGTGGTGTGCACTCGGCTGTGGGCTCTCCGCCTTTGCTTAGCAGTCGACCAAACTGTGGCCCAGAAGCTAGGGAGCCATTTGCCAGGTGCATGCAGAGCTCGCCAAGACGGCGACGAGTTGCTTCCAGCTTCTGCTGCCGTGATTCCGAGCCACTGAGAACTTCAAACGCGCTTCCTTCAACAGCATCTCCGTTTTGCACGGTAATGCCAATTACAGTTTTCATAATTGCGTTGTTCAGTTTGGCCCATTGGACTACCGAGGTCTGCTTTGGCTTCTCCCCAGGCTTCAAGCCGAGGTTCACGTCTTGCTGCCGAGAGGAATACAATGCGCCAAACGCTCGGCAACCTTGTGCAAGAACATCGGGCTCTCTGTCTGCAGACTGCTCCATGGCTTGGTAGATTACTTCCGCTGTTTGGGGAAGGCCCTTCAGGAAGTCCTCTCGCAATGAATCCTCACTTGCGCAGTTTGCCAGGGCTGCCAGCAGCTCTCTTGTGGTTGCCGGCTTACTGGCATACGCAATAAGGCTGCTGAGCAAGATCGGCCCTGCGCGTGCTCGGGCAGCATGTGCGCATGAAGCGGGCGTGCCGTAGGTCATGCAGCGAAGTGCAATGCCCGCTGCCGTGATCATGTCCAAGTTCTTGGAATGCTCAAACAATGCCCGCAGCGGCACTGCTACGCCAGCAGCCCGGCCGAACGCTATACGCCAGCGCTCGCCACTCACACCACCTGGGTTTTGGCCGTGGCCATCGCTGCATAAACAGGTGATGATAACCAGAAGCATGCCGATGGAGTGCGAGTCCTTGTGGCGCACCTCCCCAAGCCGGACCAAATCACCAGCGACCAGTGCCAGCCGATCTGATGCCGCTCTTGCCCCGCTCCAAAGATTCCGAAGCTTTGGAGCAAGCACATAAACCGCTTCAAGGGAGGCCACCACAACCTCGGCATCCCGTGGCAGAGACGCCCCGGCTGAAAGAGCAGCAATGCCAACCTCGGGAGACACCAGTTCGGGCTCCCGAAGAACAGTCCTGCCAATGATACGGCAAAGCGAAAGCGCGACAGAACGACTTTGAGGAAATCTCTGATGGGCCAGGCTAACAGACCGAAGCAGCCCATCGCGCACTAAGGCCTTCAGACTCGCATTTGTGATCTCCATGGCGCTCTCCAGTGCTTGTGCTCCTGCCCCCTGTATTTTGCGATCTTTTGCATAAACATCCATTGTAGTTGTAATGTCTCGGAAGGCAATTGGCACCAGGCCCTCGTTTTCTGACTCAGGCTCGATCGCATCAGTTGGGGAAGGCTCCTTCACAAGAATCGTGCCACCCAAGCCTCCCTTGGCAGCCGAGTTGTACGTGGTGCTCAAGGCCAAGAGAGCTCTAGGCACCAGCCGAGGCTCAGCTTTGAAGCATCGCAGCGCAAACTTTGCTGCCTCTGTCTGCGATCGCAGGTTCTGGGTGGAGGCAGCTAGCACAATAATCTGCAGGCCATGCTCGGTGGTCAATGGATACACTTCAGGTTCTTTCATAAGTGCAAGTGCAAACTCGACATGTGTATTGGTAAGTCGCCTCAAGTTATCTGGCGTGATGGCCAAGGCGATACTTGCAAGCAGTCGGGTGGGGAGCTCTGGCGTGGCGCTTCGCAGCGCTCGGTCTTCAAGATGGATTGTCATCAGGTCTGTTACAGAATCGAACACTGGCCTAGCCAAACTATCAGCTCGATGGATCTCTTCATGTCGAAGGAGGGACATGAGCGCCTCAAGGGACCACAGATGGATATGAGCACAAAGTGGGAAGAAATGCAGAATGTCAGTGATGATTCCGACATGTCTCCAAGCATCACCCGTCGCAACCACCTTTTCCGCATTGACTGCCACTGCAACAACATAGTCTAAGGCAAGCTTTGCAGTGTCAGGATTGCCCAGCTGTCCATCCTGACGTTTCTGCAGCAACACGCTGCAGATGAAGTCCACGGATTGCAGGCCCTGCCCTGCCATATCCTCCACTTCTGGAACTTCAAGGGGAGGGTTCCGAGTCATGCAAGCCCCAGCCATGAAGCGCGAGCTGGGATCGACTGGGCTCTTTACCTTGGGCTGTCGATCCGTAATTCCAGCACCTGTAAGCAAAGAGCCAAAGTACCCTTCCTCCTCGTATTCCTCCTCGGCTTCCTCGGCTTCTTCGCCGTCTGTCTCGTCCTCTTCCTCCTTTTCCTGTTGCCGCCGAGGTGATGCGGCGAGCTCCCTGTCAGAACCGCCGAAGAAGTCGACGGCGGGCCCACTCCCTTCTCCAGCAAAGGCTGCGAAAGCTGGTTTGACGTAGTTCGATGGCAATTCATCTTGCGAAGCCTCCCTTGGAGAGAAGGACTGCCTCGTCTCAAACCCGGAGAAAGCAGCAATCGGTGGCTGCCATGCAGTGTCTGTGACACTCTCGGCTTGCCCCAGCCGCGCCAATGGCCTTCCTCGCGAATCAACTGCTTCCCAAACAGGATCATCAAACTCATCCATGCCGCCCATGCCCTGACTTTGGTGAAATCCCCTTGTCTCAAAGCCGCGCTCGGGCTGATATCCGGCGAAGAAGCCGCCCGCAGAGACAGGCGAACGAGGTGATGGACCAGGCTCTGGCTCGGCAATGGGACTTCGTTCCGCCCACTCAGTCCTTGGCCCCCTTGGCGATCTTGACTTGGAGGGTGAGGAGGGTGAGGAGGGGGAGTCCAGGTCTCCAATTTGCAAAGCCTTCGCCGGAGGTGGCCAACCCAGCTCTGCTGCCTGAAAAGCGACTCGCCCATGGTATTCACGTGAGGCGGGAAGCTCGAGCCGATAACGTGACACGGGGCCTGCCCCCTCCGGCGCAAGCTCCGGCATCATGTGCCGCATGGCCGGGTACTGATTTGATGTCACCCGGGAAGCTGCAATGAGCTCCTCTTCCGTGGCTGGGTACTCGATTGGATCACCCTCCAGCTTGAAATCATCAACTTCTTCCGGCTGAAGAACCTTCTCCCTCCTGACCCAGAATGCCCGCTCCTTCTCCAACTCAAGCTCTAACCGCGCCTCATCTGCCAGCCTCTGCTGCTCATGGATGAGACGCTGCTGCCTCACCAATTCTTCTTGAAGCTCTGGCTCGTTCGCAGCCAGTTGCTTCACCTGAGCCAAATTTTCTGCTTCATCCATCTTCCTCTCAAGCTCTCTCACCTCATTTAGCATCCGCGAACCTGTAGTTCTCAGATGGTTCAGGGTCATGTCCATGCCGTCTTTTGCCAGCATGACCTCCTCTTTAGTCATGCGGGTGTGAACTGATGGGCCTGCTTCTTGAGCGATTTCCTTCACAGCTTCATAGGCCCAGTCGCCTTCCGTAAAATCTTTTGCAGGTTCTGGTGGAGGCTTCGCCCGCGGCGAAAGCACGCCTGGCACGCCACAGTAAGGAAATGGCAAGCCTGCGGCAGGTGGAAACTCTGGAGGTGTTATCGAGACCTCTTTTGGCGGCTCCTGAACAGGGGTGGACATGCCTGCGCATGGAACCTGCTGCAGGATTCGTTGTGTGCTCTCTGCTCGCTCCATTTGCTCTCTGACTGCTGCATACCGGGCTTGTAGTTGCTTGAACTGCGCGAGCTTGGTCAAAGGATCCCACTGGTCAGCATTACGCAAGGCAGCTGAATCGCCGAAGGCTTGGGAAACCGCGGATGGCAAGTGTTTCGCCGAAGCCCTCACGCCTGAAACAGCAGCCACATGCGCAAGTGGGAATTCGGACTTGAGGCTGGATGTCTCATCTCGAAGTTGAGCCAGCAGCTCATCAATCTTGTACTGCGGCAGCTCGAGCTCTATCTCCACATCCCGAGGTGCATCGTCGGAATCGCTCTCGTCGACTGCAGGCTTGAGAATTGGTCCAGGTAAAGCAGGTGTCGCCGGCGTTGGCCTGGGTTCTGTCATCGGTTACCATCTCCTCCCCATTTCGGCACAACGTTAGTCCATGATTGGCTGGACTCCGGCAGTCATCTTGACCAACCTGGAAGAAGGCCAAGAGACTTGAGCAAGTATATCAACTCAAAGGACAGGCCTTCGCATCAACATATTTGACGTACGACATCTGAAGCAAAGAGGGTTTGGCATGAGGGCACAAAGGGGAAATGTACAGTCAGAGCTTGACAACTCAGACTCCGATCCCCAACCGAATGCAAACAAAACTTTGCAAGTCTAGCCTGGTGCAAATTGAGGCACACGCAAGGCTGCGAACACATGCTCGGTGGCACTGAAACGCCCCGCAGCGGCACACGTACCAACACCTGCAATGCAGGTGCTCGGGGATGAGCACAGCAGACTCAACGCAGCAATGCTGGTACTTCCTGTACTACAATAATACAGTATGTCTCGGCTTTGGGGATGATGATCGAAAAGCTGGTAAGCTCAAAAGGTTGAGAAGAAGGGGGGTGGAATGAACAGATCGCTTCGACAGGGCGAGAAGCAGCAGCCGGCGGGGCCCAGCCGGCAGAGGGATGTAAACGGACGTTGCAAACTGCAATAAGAAAAAACCTCGAAAGGCATCTCGCTCAGCTTCTCCACGCCAATTGTGGCAAGCCTGGTTTCAGTGCCATCTGTCGGAGTCTGTTAGACTGATGCTGACCACTCTACTACGGCCACGTCCCAGGCAGAGGGCATCTAAGCCTTCTGCAGTGGCCGCAGCACGGGCTCCTCAAGCTGCCTGAGAAATTGGAAAAAAAACTCCTCTATAAAACGGGCTCTGCAGGCCTCCATAGAACCAGTAGGCGGTCGAGCAGGTGTCTGTACAAGGCGGAATCCTGCAGTTGTCGCAGCTATCGGCTTCGGCCGAGCATGTCTAGGAGTATAAATGATGGAAGCGCACGCAGCTCTTTTCTTTGACCGCACATGCTCTGTCTGCTCGAGGCTGAAGTTCGCTGCTCCGCAGACCCTTTCCCGTGCCGACGCAGCATTTAGGTGACGAATGAGCCGCATGCGGCCCACCCTCCCCAACCCCCTCCCCCAAGTTAAAATGCAGTAGAGCCGGCTGACAGCCTCCGCTATGCCGAGGATTTGATAGCCGCGCTGATGAGTTGAAGCAAATCCACATGGAAAATTACGTTGATGGGAAGCCGGATCACGTTGAACCCAACCTCAGTAAGACCAAGGCTTCAAGTTCATGATCCTTCATGCCCTCCTTGGGCTTGGTTGCACAAAGTAGGGAGGGAAGACCACTCCGTTGGTCCGTTGCTTTCGGGAAACGCCTGTCGGAAAGCCCGGCTCTTGCCAAGTTGCGTAAAGGAGAATAGGCCATGGCACCTCCAGCTCAGGGGCAGGTCTCGTGATGGATCTGGCATCTGGTACAGGGCCCAACTTTCGCGCGCCAACCCTCCATGAACTCACTGGAACAGACGATGACGCAGAGAAGATTCTGACTGTCCCCGCCTGATCTGCGCCAGTGGCCCGTAAGAGCAAGCGCGCTGCAGACAGCGGGTTTGACGAAGCATCCGATTGAAAACCCCATGCCGACAGAAGAGCCTCAGCCCAAGCATGGCAGCAGAGAGTAAAGCAAGTTAGTGAGACTCTTTGGTTCTCTGGTTTTGGCACGGCAGTTGTTGACTCTCATTTGTTACATTCGTGCCTTAATTGCCCAACTTCTCTCCAGGTGGCCATGTCCTCCTCACTCTTGATGCCTACACAACACGCGCAACCACGCAGCAAGACTTTCCAGCAACAGTTAAGCATAGCCAATCTCATGATACACGTCCCGCCTGTAAAGCAAACTCCAGCCGGCTGATTTCCTCCACCAACATTGCGGGCTTCCCGGCCTTGGCCACCCAGAGGGTCCTAAGTTCTTGAAACCATGGCCAGCAGAGGCTTCACATCCACAAGTACTGCCATGTCATGACATGTCATGTGTGCAGTTGTGACTCATTCGCTGGCCTTGGTGTTGCTAGCACATTCGGCCCTGAGGAGCAAGGCCCTAGGCAGCCTGTCTCCTGCAAGCACGGGGCTTCGATGAGGCTCCCAAACGAATGTAAATTGGCACAGAGGCGGATGGGAGAGACCTGGCCTTCACCTGGACACCTTCAGGCGCCGCGCTGCGGAGCATCTGCAAACAGCCTCTCCAGAGTGGGCATCACCGGAAAGGGCTGTTTTGGTAATGTAGCGCCTGTGGCGCAGCTCTGCCATGGCCCTTTTACCCACCTTGTGCTCCATCAGCTTTGCACGAGGGCCCCGTGCACACGTAGACGACTCCTCAAGCTTCTCAGACAGGGCTGGCGAGATTTGCGAGCAATCCTTCCGTTGGAGGCAGGCAGGATCGAATATGACCGGGCTATGCCGATTCCAGTATTGCGACCCCATTGGAGAGAAAACGCGCCGACGGCTTGCGTCCTTCTTGCTGTCAATTAACTCATGAACTTCTCTAGCGTGCAATGCCCAAAGGCACTTTTGGTTGTCAACCATTGTCGTACTTGATGCTCTTGGTATTTGTTGCTCAACAAGTTTGCCATGTGGAGCGAGGCTGGATACCCAACCCCCACCCAGTCAAACCCGGGCTGAGATGTTTTCAAGAGTGAGCGGGGTCCCATGGGACATCAAAAGGTCTCTGACACGAATCTGCCATGGCAGGCAAGTGGGGGGTGCGGGCTGAACTTGCCGGACCCGTTCAACGCGGGCCAATACTGATGCCAGAGACGCTCCAACTTCAAAGTAGACTCGACACAGATAGTCGGAGAGTCAGAATCACAATGTGTGCACCGATAATTGTTCAACTTCTTTTGCTTTAATTTATTCTCTCTCAAGTGTCCTGAAGTTTTCGGAACAAAGGTGTTTGCTGAAGTTTCCAACCTTGGACTTGAAACCCAAAGCCCGTTCTCTACTCGAGAAAGTGCAGGCATAACCAAGGCAGCACCTCCTTTGTCAGATCCTTCGCTAGCACGACGCGAACTTCCACGAGGTGCTTTCCTTGGAACAAAACTCCTGTCAACACTGCCTCCTTCCATGCCAGAAGCGACAAGCGAAAAGCAGCCAGACGAGCAACAAAATGGATTCGACCAACAACGACAGCTCCACAAGCTTGTGTCCATAAGTTCGAGTCGAAGCAGCCTGCCAGTATGCTGTAGGCGGGGCCCGGTTACAAACGACACCACGGAGGCGGTGCCAAGTAGTCCCACCTCGCTTGACTCTCACACATTGCGGTGCAGGAAGACAGCAGCAGCCATCTTGGCAGCATCTGCAAAATATTCTTAACTGGTCTAACTGCTCCATGAGAGGGTGATGCAGGTTTCTTGGTGCTCTCTCCGAAAAGGCACCGCAAGGATGAATGAAGTCGGACGCACCACTCTCCGCATGGCTCAATGGCAGCTCGTCTGGGGATGCGTTTGTCCCTTTATGCTTGCTTCTTGTGGTGAGGTTGGGTAAGTGCTAGGTTTTTGGCGCGGTTTGGCATGCCTAAACTGAATGATGTGCCCTGATGACTTGCTGAGGTATAAGCAGGATAGCGTGAAAAACTATTACTTATCTGCCTTTCCTTTCATCTAAGAGCATGAAGCTTCGTTGGCTCTCTTGGTTTGTCTTCTTTGCCCAACACTGTTCCGCCTTGAGCGCATCCCCTACGACTTGCACCCCTTGGCTGACACCCCGCATGAAACGTCTCCAAGACCCCTTTGATCGCATCTGCCACTACCATCAGCGACCCCTGCTCAAACTCACAACCGTGTTCTCCAAACCTTGCTTTAGAACTTGTTTCAACATGAGAAGCCTCAGCTCAAGTGCGGGGGTTTCTTTTTTTCCTCCTCCATCGCCTTTCTTGCTACCACATCTCCCGCTGCACCCATAGTGCCCCGCCACCCCCTCCACCAAGTGCAGCGACTTTGCTTCATGTCGCCGCCACAAACACAGCGGGGACAGGCGAACGTACTCGTACCTAAATTGCTATTCATGCCTGTTGTGCTCCATAACAACATGTGGCCTTTGCTTTCGCCCGGGGCCCTCTCATGTTCCCGACAGAGCCCCACCGTTCCTTGCACAGCCAGTTCGTTCTCAACAGGGCAGCCCTGGCCCAGGCCCCGACTTCTTTGTGGTTACCTGGATTCTTGCTGAAACTGGCTGATGATGCAGCTTCCCCGTTGGCCTGAGAAATTATCGGCCCCGAGAGGTCCACAGCTCTTTTGGAATAAACTACGAAGAGATGCTTCGTGAGCAAGACCTATCGCGAAAGCTCCGAATAAAGGTTTAGGGCCTTGACTTCTTTTGATCACCCTCTTTGCTGACGCCATGCGTCCCTGTGCCGACTGGCTCTGCTCGGTGTCAGGCTAGGATCTCATGCCAGCTGCGGTTTCCCTGTTGTATTCGTGTCTGATCACTCGCGCTGGAGTTTTTGTCAGCCCGCTGCAATCTCAATCGCAGCACAAATTGACAAAGGCAGCACCCTCTCCTGCTTCGCATTGGTTTCAAGGTGCAATTCCTTCGTTACCTTCGGCGTGGACTGCTTTGCAGCCAAACCACTGGCACTTGCGTTGACAACCTTGCCATGTGTCTGGACGAAGTTTGGGCGTTGTCTCTCAAAGGCTACAGTATTTAACCGCCTGCTTCCTTGCTTGCCGTCCCCAAACATCAGAACCCCAATACTTCGGACCTCTTCTCGCCCAAATTTCAACCCAGTTTTCAGCGACGTGAGTGGGAAAGCATACGTCTTGCATCGCGAGGCACTAACACTTTCAACTAACACTTTCAACACGGCATCCGTGCATTTTGTAGACATGCTTCGCCCACGGAAACCGTGATTATGAACAACTTCTTTCCTCGAAGATTAATCTTCGGCGGTTCCAGGTGCTGAAGCTGCAGTTGCTTCCATTCGTCGGCCTATGTCTACTACCTCCACCTCGTAGCTCTGAAAAGCTACATTTTGCGATTCAGTGGGATCGTCGTCATCATTGTAGTCATCAATGGTGTTCTGGATGTCAGTGCGGACTTGGGAGAATCTTTCCTTGGCGTAAAACAGGAGCATGCGATTGCCAAGCCCGCATATTGCATGAACATTCTAGAACATGCGCATGTCTGGCAGCAGCGTCACGTCCAGCTCGTCGGACAACTCCAAAAAGCAGCGTCTCATGAAAGAGTTCGTCACCCGGATCTGCTCCTTGCAGTCCTGGCGGCAACTCTGCACAGCATGCCGCTTAGCATCTATCTGTTTGCGTGGGGTCAGGTCTAAGATTTCACATGGGAATTCGGAAAGAGGTGTCACTCCGCGCCTTCACTGTGGCGGGGTTCGAACCTCGCATGTTGAGGACCAGATTTACGAGATCGGTGAAGGTGATGTTTCCAGACGTCTTGCTGGAGTCTTCCCAGACCAAGTCCAGCATGTCAGCAAATACCTCAGAAGGTAAAGTGTGGTAAATTCTATTTGCTTCGCATAGAGTCATAGAGACTACAGGGCCATATGCTCCTGCGCATTAGAGGCTGCCTTGGTGGCTGCCCTTCTTGTCAAGGGGGTGCAAGGGAATTCGCTTACTGGGGATTCCTTTTCCTGTTTTTGTTTGTTAAGTGCCTTGTTCCTGCTTGCGGCTGTTATGCTCGTGGCACGCAGTCACTGCCAGGTCAACTCGTTGCCGTTTATTTTGGCCAGTCTGCCAAAGACTTAAAGACATCAATCAGCCCAAAGTTGGGCAACCTGTTGCCCCTCCCCACCCCACAATCTACAGATATGCTTCAGACTTTCCGAACTATACCCTTGAGCACAATCACGAAGCATGTCGGGTACTGCTCGGGCCGCTCGGGCTTCACAACAATTCAGACATCTAGTGAAGATAAAGCC